GGAAGGGGTTTGTCAAGATCATGCATCATGTAGTTCATGACAAAACCCTTATACAGCTCAGGGAGCGACTGCAGGATCAGGTCCGTTGCCAACTCCTTCTGCAAGGAGAACCCGAGTTTCCCCAGATTGGTTATGTAACCAATCATTTTGAGAACGTGCGGACCGACCGGGTTCCCTGAAGAGAGCTTGCAACTAAAGAGAGCCTTACTCACGAGAAAACACTCATGCCTGGATTGCCCCTGGTATAGCTGCCGCAAGGCCACGATCATCTCGTGGGTCTTCATGTCCTCGTGCTGTTTTTTCAGCTCAGGTATCATGGTAGCCAGCATGACACAGCTAACCTGGTTGTCATCCTTAACGTGCTTCTCGTAGGCATCTTTGACCCCTTTCGGGGCGTTAGCGGGAGGGGCAGGAGGAATGGGCTTTTCGAGCACATACTCTTTCTCATCCATGCGGAGAACAATGCAGAGATTGCGTTGCCAGTCAACAAAGTTTGTTCCGTTCAATTTATCTTTATCCAGAATGGAACGCAGGGCGAGGTTGTTTGTGTTGTTGTTTGCCATCTACAGAATTTTGCGAAGATATTTATTATCATGAATTAAGTATCTAATAGGTCTTTATTAAATACTCTCCCACTATTTCTAACAAGTCAACTACCCTCAGGTACGGAACCTATTGACTTGGGGTTTCTATTTGAAGAATACCCTAGCGGGCCAAGATCCATATTTTTTTTAACTATAGTTGTGCTTTGCATCTTGCCCTACAGTTAAATTATTTAGGTAGGAATTCATTCCAATTGCAATCGTTATTACAACTCTTGGTTCGGTGGATTCTTTTAAATAAAATTCTTAATTGGGCCAGATCCATATTTCATTTAAGTATAGTTGTGCTTTGCATCTTGCCCTACAGTTAAATTATTTCTGGTAGGAATAAATTCCAATTGTAACAATTTACAACTCTGGTTGGATGATCTGATTTTATTTATTGATCCTACCGCAGTGCCCTAAGTCTCTCATCCTTATGACCAAGACTTAGTTAAGACTAACCTGGGGCGAGTCAGTACCCTAGTTACGGGTTTCGCGCCTAACCAACGTAAACCGGGCGTCTCACTTGGGTGAGTCCGTTACCGATCTAAATTGGGTTTGACGAGTGACGGGGCGTCGGGGTGGCACAGACTTAAAATTATGAGGGATTTATAACGCAGTCTTGCCTATGGCATACACCGCGCGTATGCACTAGCGAAAAACACATACATGCATACATTCAATCATACATCACATGCATAATAAGTAAACGTGAAATGATTGTGGCTCCTAAAGAAAAACAAACGATAGCGCCTTGATCAAGAGATCTCTATCTCCGGCCCATCACGTCTTCCTTAGGATTCTCTATCACGAACGGACTTCGTCTTCTTGTCTTCTTATAATTTTCGAGAGAAAAGAATATTTGAGGTAAAGAAGAGAATTACATCCAGAGTATAGAGATGAGGCACGACACGCAGGCCGTATTTAAAATTACAACAAATATAACTAAGCCACAATCATCCACCATGCAATAATACATACAAGCATCACATGCATCACATCATACATATTAAAGCATACACCGGGCGAACCGCGCTCGCCCCAGACCTAGTTTATNTTACGTAAATTACTAGCTATAGTAAGAAATTTACCTTAACGGTGAAAACGAAGAACGGAGGAACGGTCGGGGATGGTTTTGAGGAGATGAACGTAGCGCCAAACGTATGAAGCCTCCAACGTATCCACACGAACTTGCTCCGGAGTCCAAGATTAAACTTGTGCTAGCAAGTTTAATATAGGATAGTAAAAACTATAAATATATAGTAAAATATTTATCTTATAAATATTTGTTTATAATATTTTGTGTATATTTCTAACACTTTAAAAAAATAACTTTGAACACAAATTTAATTTTCTTCTCTCTAAAATTGGGATGGCCGAAAATTGAGGTGTTTATATTAAAAATCAAGACTTCATTTTATAATAAAGCATATTTAGGAAATTGCTAGGAAATTAATGTTAAGCATAAGTACATGCATATGTCTTAACACCATGTGTAAATGTTTAATATCTTAGCTACCAAACAAAATAGAATCCCTACATCAAATAATAATCAAATATATCAATTTGACATTAAAAATACTTTATGTAGAAAATCAAAATGGTCTTGGATTTTTTCTCTTGAAATTTCGGTCATCCCATATTTGAAATATATCATATTTTATTTTTGACATCAATAATTATCATATAATTAAAATGATGAAAAATAAAATAATATATATATACACACATTCGGCGCTACACATATATATATAATAAAATTTGTTTTGTCAAAATATAATTATCATATAATTAAAATGACACAAACAAAATATAATTTTAAAATACATATGTATTTTCGAAATACATATATATATAAAATTATCACAACTATATATATTTAATATTACTCCCACTAGTGTAGTATACTACTTTCTTACAAGTCCTAAGTGTGTGACCCTTTAGGTATCCATAACACTGGCAATGATATTAATAAAATTAATACCATAGATAATAAGTGGTATCTAGCAACACATTATTACCCCCAGATTATGAAAAAGACGTTCATCTCATCAATACCTTCTACGACACAAGACATTCTATAACTATTATCCTTCTGTCCTAAATGTCATGATTTAACACAAGGAATGGATGTGTATCCTTGTATAGTTAAATCAGCTGTTACTGAATCTCAAGTAGACTGGCAAGGATCAGATATTTATCAGTCTCTAGATAGCGACATATCTGGGCATGGCCATGCACTTTCCCAAGTCCTACTATTCAGTGGGCCCATTGACATTATACTTTTATACAGTAGAAGGGACAGATCCTGTATCTGTTATTCACATCTCTAAATATGCTTAGCGGCATACCCAACGCATAACTGTACGTCTACCAGTATTTCAGATAGCATTAGTTATGAATCAAAGCATACGGCCCCACATATCAGAGAATGTAATAACTTCAAGTCTGATGATAGTTATAACAAGGTCGATTTGAGAATACTGATAAACACATTACTGTAGATCCATGCAGTATTCTCAAGATGGGTCAATCCAGTCACATTATATCAATATAATATGTACCTACGTACAGATTAAGATATCACAATACCTATAGTCTATGAGACGCAACTATCTCATCTCGTACGTACTAGTCTTGATACGTTATGACGTCCGTATTATCATAAAGTGCGACTAGGGATATTCTAGACATAGCCTTCGTCAAGAAGTAACAGTCTCATAATCAGAACATCGTAGTCCTCATCTATGTTACTGAAGCGCTATCGTCTATGGACTGAAGCTATGTTATGTTACACGAGATATAAAACATACTTCAAGGCCTTTCATTCATGCTAAAGTGTACAGTTACATAGGTATTTGATTGCCGCTAGGGCACCTAAATACAACATAATGATGTTAGAGAACCTCTCAAACATTTCCTCAATCTTCTCGTTTTCCTTCATTGAGAAGAGTTCGTACTCGTGAGTAAGATGGTCGATTTTGGCCTCCCGAACCTGCGCGGTTCCTTCGTAGCTGACCTCCAATTTCTCCCACATTTGTTTTGCGGTTTCACACCGCGAAATTTTGCGGTAGTCATCCGCATTAACACCGCAATAAATCATGTTTATTGCCTTTGCGTTGAGCTCCATATTTTTGCAATATTTGTCGGTGAACTCCTCTTCGGTTTTGGGAACGTTGACCTCACCGACTTTCTTCATCGGGATTCCGCAGCCGTTCTTGACAATCAACCACAGCTTGTAGTCGTTGGATTGGATAAAGATTCTCATCCTCTCCTTCCAATACGAGTAGTTTGTTCCATTGAACAAAGGTGGCCTCGTGGTTGATTGTCCCTCGGTCACTCCTGCGTTGAACATTCTTGATGCCATTTGATCTTTTAGTTCCTGAAAAAAATAACGTATTCGAAGAACTTCCTGCTCTGATACCAATTGTTAGACAAATGTGCAACTCTAGAGGGGGGTGAATAGAGTTGTTTTCAAGAATGTGCGTTTTTCGCGTAAAAAAAAATCGCAGGAATAAGTAAAGAGAGTAAGGGAAAGAAGAACACCGGGATTTATACTGGTTCTCCACCTCGTGGCTAGTCCAGTCCTCCGAGAGACTCTCTCGAAAGTCCTACTAATCTTCAAGCTTCAACGGGTGCTTGAAAAACCGGTACAACTTGAGAACTTGAATCACACAAGCCTCACTTTCTTACAACAACAAGACTTGAGTCACACAAGTCTTATGAACAACACTCAAATGAGATTGAGTTTACAACACAAGAAT